TTTATTCGATGTTCCGACCTGGCCTCACTACCTTTAACTAAAATTAAATTGTAGATGTAGATGTAAATGTCGTCGTGATGGCTCAACAAGTGATGGCTCAACAAGTGATGGCACAAACAAATACGGAGTATTTGTTTGTGACGTATTCCTATTGTAGATCGGAGTATTTGTTTGTGACGGAGTATTTGTTTGTGACGGAGTATTTGTTTGTGACGTATTCCTATTGCGATTTTTTTTTTTTTTTTTTTTTGTTGATTTTAGGTTGATTTTAGGTGCCCCAAGAAGTCCTTACGGTCTTATCAGAGAGCACCGCGGAAGAGCATTTAATAGGAAGTTCACGCCTCCTTCTCAACCGATGTCGCAAAACTTGCTCAGAGGGTTTGAACCACGGATCTTACATTGGTACGCGGATTTTGCATTGGTATTATTGTTTATATAATTTTGCTTTACTTTTTTTACTGTCTTATATACATCTTGGATATTCAAACATTCAATTTTTGTGTTTGCTTTACGGGAAAAATTAAATTTAATGTTCAATATCGAAATTTCAATTTCACTAAGCTTCAAAATCGAAAAACTTCTCATTTTTGATTAGAACGCCTGGATTCTCGGGGCCTGCTACTGCTATCCTAATTTTGAAGGCAAATGGTTTGAGTAGCCTTATTGTATAAAAACATTTAACTTAAATTTACTATATTTAACAACGCAAGTCTATTTATATAACATTTCTTCGCTAGGATTCGTCATATATGCTTAGCATCAGTGCCCCTTGAACCATTCCCGTATGTACAGCAATTATTTCAGGATGTAGAGCACCTATTTTCAACCCTGTTTTACAATAGTTTTTTGTGTGTGGGAGTTTAATACCCATAGTTCCACACTTGTATGGTTTAGACGGCTTTTTAAAGTTTTATTTTTTAAATTCAAACCATACTACGACAAGTTTGAGGCTAAGTTTTACAAATGCCCGTCTGAATATAAACCAGTTACAGAAAAGGTTGTGCAATTTTATCACCATCGCTACGAAAATTGTCGTTCAAATCGTTACATCACTACGAAAATTGTCGTTCAAGGTATATGAACTCCTTGTACTAAGTTTTAACAAAACATAATATAACAAAATTAATATAAGAAAATGAAATGCAAAATAGATCTATTTTACAGTGAAATAAAAGAGCAACACAAAAAATAAAAACTATGATCAATATATGATAGTATATTGATTTACATTATGTTTAAAATGAACATAAAAATATTAAAAACATTACAATTAAGCCAAGTAATTTAATATCAAAATGTTTTAGAAACAGAAGCAAATAAAAATACATGTTTTTTAAAAACAGTTACCCCAAGTCATGAATAAGGGAGTGGAAGGAAGATTAGAATGCCCTGCGTAGAAAATGTAGAATATAAATCTAATTAACGGAGTAGTGGGGCTAATAGAGACCTAATTAAGAGTTGAGTAGTTGCCTTTTTGCTAACTAAATATCTTTTCCCACATGAATAGAGGCTTGAGTTGTAAACAAGGCGAGACTGCAATGCACTTAAATGGCACTGTGATTGAAATTTTTATTTATAAAAACCACATTTCATTATAAAACTAAAGTAATGATATAAAAAATAGTATTGAAAACTGATATATATATATATATATATATATATATATATATATATATATATATATATATATATATATATATATATATATATATATATATATATATATATATATATATATATATATCTTAGGCTGGTTCTTAAAACAACTTTTTTTTATAAATGACTGCTGGTACGCTCTGAATATGTTGTATATAATAAAAAAAATTCTGGATTTAAAAAATTATTTAAAATTTTTTTTTCAAAAGTAGGTCATGATAGGTCTCAAACAAGGTAAAATTATATAAAAATTTCAAAAATAATATTCATTTTATAAAAAAACATTGATAAAAAAAATTATAATAAAAAAATCTTGTTAATTTCTCTATTAATCGTTTTTAGTTAAAAAATGTAATTTTCTGTCCACTAAAATCTAAAATAAAAAATTAATTATAAAATGATTAACATTTTTGAAATTTTTATATAATTTCGCTTCGTTTGAGACCCAACATGACATACTTTTAAAAAACTTTTTTTTTTATAATATTAGGGACCTATTTAATGTTCGAAGATCAGTAGCAACCCTTTAAAATACTAAAAAAAATTTTAAGTTCAGCATTTTAAGTTCAGCATTTTTTTTATATACAGCATATTCAGGTTGTGCTAGCATTCATTTTCAAAAAAAAATTGTTTTTAAAACCACCCTAATATATATATATATATATATATATATATATATATATATATATATATATATATATATATATATATATATATATATATATATATATATATATATATATATATATATATATATATATATATATTATGGGCCCCTTTATTTTTCATGGGCCCTGGTGCGACGCATTGACTGCATCCCCCTCTCATACGGCCTACTCTTTACAATATACACACTAATATAAAACACAGCTAATTTTTAGTACATTCATGTATTATTTCAGAGTGATTAGCTCAAGCATTATCAGACTTAAAATTAAAAAAAACTATTTTTTTATTTATTAATTATTATGTCTGATGATGGTCTGAGCTAATCAGACTGAATTATCATATTAAAAAAGTTGGTTAGTACTTATTTTGGTTTTTTGTTATTATATAATAAGATAAATAAAGTATTTTATTAACTTGATGCCCTCACATTTTGGGTTGGTGTGGATAACTTTACAAATATTTTTATACCCAGGCTCATTGCACTAAAATTTTTTGCAAAATATTTGACGTAAGAAAGAACATACTTATATTTGGAGTTTTCACAATGCCTAAAAGTGCATGAAGAATTAAAAATTTTTGCATACTTCTCTGATTAAAATCACATTATATAACAGTTTTTAACAATCCTACTCAACTAAATATTTTGTTGCAAAAATCTGAACACAACCAATTACTTTTTTACTTATTATTCACGTTTAAGCTTACCTACATTACAACAATATAAAAACATTAGTACCCGTAGCTCAGAATTCATCAATAATTTCTTTAAATAATTTCTAGAGCTTACAGAAGCTAAATTTTGGATAAAGAAATTGCAAATCGCGACATTTTTAGATTTTATTCTAAAATACTCTTGTATAATGTATGACTAAGGGTTTAATATTAACACTAAATGTTCTGAACATTACATGTATATATATATATATATATATATATATATATATATATATATATATATATATATATATATATATATATATATATATGTATGTATATATATATGTATATATATATATATATATATATATATATATATATATATATATATATATATATATATATATATATATATAATATTTTTATTGTAACTGTTAGTATTGTTACTAATAATATTCCTCTTCATCGTCATCTTATTATTATTGTAATTATTATTTTTATAATTATTATTATTACTATTATTATTATTATTTATATTATTATCATTATTATTTTATTGTAATGTTGCAGGTTTTTACTTTAGATTAGTACTTATTTGTAAAAGTCCTTGAAATTTTACAACTTATTTCAGAATTTATATATATATATATATATATATATATATATATATATATATATATATATATATATATATATATATATATATATATATATATATATATATATATATATATATATGCATAAATTTAGCTTTAAACACAACAATAAGTACATTAGAGTACAAAATAAGATAGTTGAATTATTTTTTTACAAATCCAAAAGTCAATGTTTTGAGGTACTTTTTTTCACTTGTTAAATAATATGTTATTTAAAATTAGACAGGCTCTTTTTTTTAATAATAATATAAGACTAATGGCAATGGTTTAATAATATTGTTTAATAAACCTTAGTTTTGCTTTGTAAATCTCAAACAAATTACTGTTAAAAAAACGTTTGTTTACGTTTTTACTTACATTTCTGCGCGCGCATAAATTTTATATCGGAACTGTGAAAAGCTGTATTTAAT